AATCACCTCCAGCTGCCTGGCCTGGCTATTTCTGGGGCTGCTGTTAAGAGATAGAGCAAAAGTCCAGTCCCTAGGGTGCAGGTCCTCTGGGTCTGAAGGGTTCCCGCCCATGGAGATCATAATGAATCATTCCTTTTGAAAATGACAAGGGGACAGCCACTCAGCCAGATAGCCTCCCTGACCCCAGGCATCTGTCAAATCACAGTAATTATGCCTGCTTTCCTGCTCACTCTTTTTCCCTGGTGAGGATTGGAGAGCAGTTCCTCAGGGAGGAGGAGGGAAGAGGCAGTGGTGTAGCCTCACTGAGCTCCAGAAAATGTGGGGGCATCTAGAAGGACTCTAGAGACAAACACTGCCAGTGGGAACAGGGAAAACCTCTCAGAAGCCTGTGCTCAGCAAACATCTTTTTCATTCACTGTTTATTGAGCACCTAAGAACTCAAACAGAAAATTAAAAAAAAAAAAACCTTCACGAAGTGGGGGGAAATGAAAAATGATAAACACATCATATTCTGCCAAACGTAAGGTCTTTAGAGAAAACCAATGCAGGGTGAGAGGCCAGGTGGACCCTCGGGTGGGGTTGCCCGTGACTTGCTCGGAAAGACCTTTCCAAGGGAAGGGGTCCGGAGAGTCTGGGGAAGGGTATTCAGGGAGAGGAGTCGGAAGTGTGAAGACCCAGAGACAAGAGCAAGTGCGGCGTGTGAGAGGCCAGTGTGGCCAGAACCGAGGAATGCGGGGAATGAAACTGGGGAGGTCACTGGGGCTGGATCAGTAGGGCCCGAGAGGCCAGGGCAGTGACTTTAGCATCTGTTCTGGGTGGGCTGGGAAGCTATAGGCCATGTGGAGCAGGGCTGTGACGTGGCCTGGTCATGTCTGAGAACTTCACTGTGGGTGTAGAACTGGAGAGGGCAAGGCAGGGGCTTTTGTGGGGTCCAGGTAGGAGGGGTTTCTGGCTTGACCAGGCTGGGGATGTTCGTGCTCTGAAAGTAACTGGGGACTGGTTGTCTGGTGAGAGAGTACCGTGCTTCTGTTTACTCTCGGCATCCTACCAGGCTGCAGCTGCAGATAGGCCCACTCCAGCCAGGGTTTGGTCTGAGGCCGGAGGCAGCCTCCATCTTCAGGTCGGCCTTTACACTGGAGAGAGGCTTTGGGCTAAGCAGGGAGGTCAGGAGGGTGTTACAACGGTGAGTGGACCTGGGCTCTGCCCCCACGGGCCACAGTTACAAGGCAGAAATTTCATTCCTTCATGTGTGCAGTAAAAAATTGCAGAGTGCCTAGTCAGGTCAGACTGCCCACAGTTACGCCCCCACTCTGTCACCAGCCAGCTCTCTGAGTGTAAGCTAGTCATTTGCTCCCTCCTGGGCTCCTGTGCCTTCGCCTGCACAGTGGGGATAGTGGCAGCCATCCCCTGAGGGCTCCATGAGTGCACAGGTGTCACGCCTCGGGAACAGCACCTTACATGTAGTAAACATAGTCGGTGTACAATTGATTCAGCCAGCAGAAAGGGGTCTTGGGCCTTGTGCAGAAGGGAGGGACTTGTGTACGGGAAAAACTCACAGTGCCGCATAAAGACAGGGATGAGGAAGGAGATGTTACACCTAGCGTGCACACCCACCCGTCAGTCCTCAGCTAACTTTGCAGAATGTTAAGGCAAAGCCAAACTAAACTACACACTGCACTGTGGTACCCTATTTCAGTTCAGTGAAGTTGGTTCACTCCTTCTAAAAACTGCATAGTAAGTACCCTCTGTCATGGCTATCTCATGATTCATTTCACCGTGGCTTAACCTAAACATTCAAGAGGTTTGTGGTCATCCTTCCTCAAATGGTATTGCTGGGACTTCTCAGTGGAGGTGTGTTTGGCAGGTAGCTCTACAGGACTGATTTCTAGAAGCCACTGTGGTGGAAGGCATGTGCTTCTTTAATGTGGGCTGATATGAGGAATTCCCACCCTCTTACACCAATTTGATCTCCAGGATTTTGACAGGCACAAAAGGGCAGCCATTCTTCCCAGATGTGCAGAACTGCTGCAAAGTGCAGGAGAACAGGGCCATCCCCCTGTGACTGGGCCATGTGGGGATGCAGGCTGGCCTCCAGAGGGAGGTCCCAAGGAGTGTCTGTCATGGTCTTTGGATACAGGAGCCCTTGTAGGTTTGAGCTCCATCTGAGCTTTCAGAAAATCACACTGGCCCCAGTGCCGAGAGTAGATCTCTAAGACATAGGGTGGGGCCTCCGCCTGTTAGCGGAACACCTACAGAGCCAGATGTGCACGCCCTTGGCTCTGTCATCCTCACAGCAAGGTAGTGGGTCAGCATTGTCATTTGGGGGAGAGGAGCAGGTGACAGTTGAGTAGGTGACTAGGCAGCCATTGAGGCAGTGGTGATGAAGGCACCAGAGGTTGAGCCATGTTTCTGAGTGGATGAAAGTTAAGGGGGCACAGGGCAAAGAGAAGATGGTGGATTAAGAAAACTGTTCTCTGTGAGCTCCTGGAGGTCAGCCTGGGGCCAGGCAAGGAGAGGAAGGGAAGAGGAAGCCTGAATGTCCCCTAGGATTGCATCCTCTGAACTGGTGTCGGGTGGTAATTCCTGGAGTTTCTCAGGAAACATGCATTTTTCTGAATTTGAGATCTTCGGTAAAATCAGTCGTGAAATTGGGAATAAGTATTGTAATTCCCCTGCAATGCATCAGGAATAATGCCAGTGTTCCTGGTTTGATGAAATCCAGTAGGAAGTGCAGCACAGCAGGGAGGGAGGTGAAGGTCGAGGCTGGCAGGAATGACTGAAGCCTGGGAGAGAATGGTCACATGTAACTAGTCAGCATCGGTTTGAGCTGGTGACAAGATCAAAGTGTGTGCTCGCGGTTCTGTCTGCTGCAGTCACGCAAATGCAATAAATATTAGCACATTTGTGTGCATAGGAGACTGTGAGGGTGGTACTACAGGAACGAACCAGTTCTGCAGACATGATTCTTGTGCTGTGAGCCTCACCGGAAGTTTCATGTGGCACGTGATCGTTCCACCGGCACCTAGCTCTGTTCCCTGGTGTTTTCCAGCACTTGAATATTTGCTCTGGGCTAGCTTTTTGTAAAGCCTGCTGAACCTGTTATTTTTTATTTTGTACACAGATCATCTTATGTTTCTATAACAGTGAGTAAAGCATATTAGGAATACTTGAAAAATATCTTCTGATTGGGGGAATCCCTCCGGAATTCTGACTTCACCATTGCAAATCCCAAAGAGCCCTCTTTCAGGAATTTGGGAAGTCTTTAGAAGTTCCAGGTACTCACGTGAGAATGGCTGATTTGTATGAATCAGTGAGGTGATAGAGGTGAAAATGCCCGGAGAAAGGGAGGAGCACTGGAAGAGGTGACAGCCAAGGATGTGAGCCAGGGACAGAGCAGGGCACAGAGCCAGCAAGGGAGTGGGAGAGGGAGATGGGGAGGCCGGGAGAAAACTGTGTCAGGATAGCAAGGAGAGCAGCGTCTCCCCAAGAAGCCTCCTGGGCGTGAAAGCGCTGCACAGTTGACACCTAGTCGCAGAGCATTAAGAACAGCAAGCTGTCCTCCTCCTCTGCTGCCTAGTTGGCACAGGACCCATGGAACAGGTGGTGCAGCACAATTGTGGCGGCTTCCCTGTCACCCTTGTTAGAGGGGAGAATGCCACAAATCATCAAGGGCAGCAGAGGAGAAGCGGAGGCGCCTCCAGTGGGCACACCTGCCTGTGGACAGGCACGGCTTCTCTGAGCGGCCCAGACTGCGCCCTTGGCAGCTGTCTGAGCCTGAAGGACTGGCTGCCCTGGTTTTATGCTATGGGCCTTTTTGTTCTGATGTGGAGCACCATGAACCTGGTGCCGTGATCACAGAGCCCTGCCCTGGCTCAGCAGCTGGCTCATTGTGTCTTGGAAAAGCAGCTGTAGACCTTGGGTTTCTGTGCCCAAGAAGGAGATGGGGAAAATAACCGGATGTTTCCTTAGGCCAGCCAGATGCCAGGTGGTAGGGCTACCTGTCATGAAGCTCTTCCTTCCCCTGAGGCTGGTGTGACTGTTCGCCATTCAGTTGAGCAGAATGAACCACAGGGAATGAAGTGGCCAAGCAGTAGTGTCCCGGCTGGGGTGGGGAGGGTGGGGAGCACAGCTGTTGCTGTGGCTCAGAAACCTCTATGCCCTGTCCCCTCGGCCTCAAGGGAAAGCAATAACAGCACCCTAAACATCTTACGGCCTTTCCCAAAGGACAGATTTGCAGAGAACGCTGGAAACCAGGACTGGGAAGGTTGCAGAACCTCTGAGGAAGTTTTTCCACTGAAGGAAAGGGGTCTTAGACACCTGTTCAGCACCCATTTTCAGCCCAGCCTCCCCTAGCCATGTGCTTATGAGCCACTGCCCCTTGTGTCCCTCATGTCCCTCATTGTCTAATGTGCACATGGTGTTTGAGCTGGTCCAGAAAGAAGGGTGAAGGGAAGCCCAGCTTTAGCCCCAGATACTCCCCTGAGCATACAGCCCACTAGCTTAGCAAGTGTCACTCGGGAGATAAGACAGGCTACGGTCTGCAGGGTAAGAGCAGGAGTCCCTGTTTGTGCTTCTCTTGTTCGCACATGAGAACTGGCTCTGACAGAGTTGTAGGTGTTTTTCTCACCAGCTTGTTCAGGGAAGGCGGGTCGAGAAATTGCTAATGCAATGGGAAGCAAGCCATGCTGTTGCAGGGCGTCCACGATAAGGGTGCAGGCAGAAGAGCATCAGCAGAGAGGGACTGGGTCCCATGGGCCCAGGCTCCCTTCCAGGCTGTGCATTTGCTCTCAGTGATCTTGGATTAGGCCATTTGCAGGTTTGGTCTTGGTTTTCTCATCTGTAAAATGGGACTGCTAACAGACCCTGTGTCGGGAGTTGGTGCACTTCCCAGCAGACACAGGGTGAGCACTTGCTAGTTCAGCTACGGCTTCCGTGATGAGAACTCCTTTCGTTGTAGCGGGCGTGTGCACAGCTAACCTCTGTCTGGGTTCCCGAGATGCAGGGCAGACTTAGGAACACAGGCCAAGCGTGTTCACCGTGGACGTTTAAGAGACCAAATGAATTTTTGTGTGTGTCTCCAGGCCGTGGTCACTCCCTTTCTTTTGGGGTGTGAGTCAAGTTCATCTGGAAGTGGAGGCTGTGATCTTCTAGCCTAGTGGTAGCAGGCTGAGCCCTCACCCACTGAGCCCAGAGACCAGGCTGCAGACTGGCAGATCCCCCCAGTAAAGGACCTCCCTTTTCCCTTGGTAAACCAGGCAGTGTGGCACATGATCAGACTTCATTGTAACACACATGCCAAAGCACTGTTGTTCATTTCCTCTAGCATTCAGAGAGCAGCTTGGTCCATATTAGAAAGAGCATGTCCGAGTCAGGCAAATTCTAGGTCCTATTCCTTTCAAGTCTTATGCCCTTGACTTCTATCTGCCTCTGAATCCCCATCTGTAAAATGAGGCTAGGAGCAAAGACCTCATAGGTGCCTCTCCAGTGGAAGCTATTTTGACTGCAGTCACATCTTTTTTGTTCAAACTCTCACTTCAGTCCCAAAACGATGTGAGTTGGCAGCTTAGATATTATTACAATTGCTTGCCCTATTTCATGTCTTTTATTTTTAAACATTGGAGCATCTGAAAATTCAGTTTGCAGAAGGGAAGCAGATAAAGTTATTTTGGGTACAATAACCTCTATCCCATTTGGGGCTAGTTTAAAAAAACATTAATAAAATGTAATATCAGAGAGATGCAGCGACCACACATAGAAGTCAGCTGGCCTTTGCAGCCTGAATCCTCTTGTTCCACTGAAGCCCCTGGTTGGTGACAACTTCTTCCTAGGAGTGAGAACTGAGAGCAGTTACTTACAGTGCTGGGCTATCGGTTATCTGCTGCCGGGTTGATGATCTGTACGAGAGAGCCATGATGTTTGGTGGCCTGCAGTAAGAACTGCTGTCGCATCAGGTGACGGGCTGGGGGCTCAGCTGGTGTGGCTCAGTTCCCTTCCACGTCTGAGTCGGCCAGCTAGACACCACACCACGGTGGCCTTAACTGAGAATAGTGTGGCTGGCCTGGCCTCAGGTCTCTCCTCCTCATGGAGCCTTCGTAGCCGGGCACATAGAGCAGAGCACAGGGAGAACCCGGTCACAAGGGTTCCAAGTTCTGTGTCCCTTTGCTTAAGATGCCACTGCCCAGAGAACTCACAGGACACAAACCGGTCAGAGTAGGAGGGGGCAGCAAAGTCACGTTGCAACAGAAGACTCTGTGTGTGTGTGTGCGCGCGCGCGTGTGTGTGTGCGTGCGTGTGTGCGTGTGTGTGTAGAGAGAGACTGACCATCTGTGGACTCCACAGCTCAGTGGCCTGTCCTAGGTGCGGGGAGGAAGGGAGCTGTGGACTCCAGGGCAACGCTGCCTCCATGAGTAGTGAGAGACGGGGAAGAGCAGTAATCACAGCCTCATTGTCCACAAATCAGCAGTGGAGCTCAGAGGCCCAGCCTGCAGGCAGTGTCCAGAGGCCTGTTTGCCATCACTTTAAAAACACATGTTTCTAAAGTTTATGGAAAACTTGACTTTTTTGTTGTTTCTTGGGTCCCTGAATTTGAACACATGTATAGATAGGGGTGCCCACTATCACAATCAGGATAGATGCAGACCGGTGTCATCACTGTGAGCTTTCCCTTTATACTCCCACCCCGGCCCACCCTTCATGCTTTTCTGCATCCCTCTGGCCTCGTCTTAGAGAGTGCCTCATAAGTGGAGTCAGCACAGTAAGTAACCCCTTGGGCTGAGGTCTTTCCCTCAGCACAGTACCTGTGATAGGCATCCATCCTGTCAGGAATATCAGTAGCTGGTTCCTGTTTCTGACTGAGTAGTCTGTATGTGGATATACCATAGTTTGTGCATTCACAGAAGACACCAGTGTGCTTTTCAGTTACTGCCCGTTTTTCATAGAGATAATAGACACATTTTTAAAAGTTTTCACTTCTCTGGGATACTTAAGAGTGAGATGGCTGGGTCGTATGGTGCGTATGAAACACTGCCGAGATGTGTCCCGAGTGTCCCTGCCCTACGGCCTCCTACAGGCCTTGACTGAGAGTCCAGCTGTTCTGCACCCTCTCAGCATTTGGTATTGTCAGGATGTTTTGTTGTGGCCACTCAAACGGAGCACAGGGGTTTCTCTTCTTGGTCTCATTGCATTTCCCTGACAGCCTACGCTTCCTTTTCTTCTGTCCTCTTCTGACATGTCTGCTCAAGCCTTGTCTATTTTAAAAAATTACAGTGTTGTTTTATGATTGAGTTTAGGCGTTCTTTACATCTGCTGGTTACGTCTTTCGCCGGGTATGTAATTTGCAAATGTTTTCTAAAAGTCTTTAGCCTGTCTTTCATTTTCTTAACAGTGCCTTTTGTATAAGAAAACTTTTGATGAAATCAAATTTATCAATCCTTTCAATACTGCTGTTTTTGGTGTCATGTCTAGGAGCTCTGCCTAAACCCGGGAGACTGAGCAGGGTCACATGCTCAGCCGGTAAAACCCGAGGGATCTGTCATCTCAGGGAACTGAACTCAGTCCTTCCCTTCTGTGGGTGCTCAGATTCTGGAGCGGCTGCTCCTTATTGGAGGCCTTGGTGGAATTTTCCTGTGGGGAATGTGTGGTGTAGGAACATTCTCCCCGGACAGCCCATCAATGGACTCATTTGTCCCATGGGATCCATTGATCAGGGACGCTCATCAGACCGGGGTCAACAGGCTCATGTGGCACCACTGATTTCTCCTAGCAGCCCCGTAGAGCACTGCTTTATTCCCCTCCTTGTCTTCTCCACAGGGGCAGGAAAACTGGGCCCAGAGAAGGGAAGTGATTTGCATTCACATGGCTGGTGAATGGCAGAGCCAGGATTCCAAATCCCAAACCCTTAGCTACTGCATTGAGCCGGGTTTATCCAGAAAGAAATCCTTGGTGAAACAGCCATGCACAGCCTGCTTTGACAGCCCCCAGTGGGGGCATGTGGCCCAGCAATCCGGTCATTAGATGTATCATCACCATCTCTTGTTCACTAACTTGGCCCAGAAAGGCCTGGAGAGGTCACATGGCTAGGCAGCCATAATGGCTGTAAGACTGTAAAGGCCCAGGTACAGGGAAGGTCGTCAGCAGAGCCCCCATCAGAGTGTGTGAGCCATAAACCTCTTACTCAGGAAAAGGTTTCGGGCCTGTCAGTGCTACAAGGGTCGCAGGCCAGTGCTTCAGGATGTCAGAGGTCCTCGGCCCAGAGTGAGCAGGAGTCGCCTAGATACGGAGTCCATGAGGCCTGCAGGGCTGTTGGTGGGGTAGCGGGAGTTAGGAGAGGAGGTCAGAGTACAGGAGGAGCTGCAGCGAGGCCTTCAGATAGTCACTGAGAGGCACCCTTTGCCCAGTGGTACACTCTCCATGGGGCACACACTGTCCTGGGTCCAGTCCCCTGCTCAGATGCTGAGCGGCACCGCAAGGGGGCGGAGTCTTCCACGGAGCCCGCCTGGCCTGCTGGCTGAGGCGCCTGGTCAGCTTCCAGAGTTGCAGCCACCCCCAGAGGCCTTCTCCAGACCTCCTTGCATTACTTCTGAGAAGGGGCTGAGCCCTGAGGGCAGCCCGAGCCCCAGGTACCTTGGGGTACTCGGTACTCGGCACTGGAATAATTGCCCTTGTCCATCCTTTGTTCATCCCCAGGTAGCTAATACAAGTGGAATATAAATACTAGATTGATCGATTGATAATTATTAACAATTACCAAGAACAAGAGGGAAAATCTTTATTCCCTAATACGTATAGAACTGCTGCGATTAAAACTTGTTTTGACTAGAAAACTAAGAAAACATGATGAGAAAATTACAGAGACACTTAACCAGCTCCCTCCTGTGCAAGTACGTTTATTAAAGGAAATTTTATATATAAACCATTAGGACTGCTTTCAAAATACATGAAAATAAAAGGATTAAGATTAGTCTAAACACTGCAAGGTAAGCTGGGCTGCTTGGTTCTCCCGGGATCTGTCCATGTTGCTGAGATGAGCACAGCTGGTTCAGCCCAGGCCCAGGGAACGGCCCAAGGTCACTGGGGGACTGGAGCAGAGGCGGTGACAGGGGAGATCCCTGTCTGTCCATCTAACCATCCATCTGTCCAGTGCTTACTGTGTGCCTGCTGCATGCTGGGAACCATTTTAGATACAATTCGTACAAGATCTCTTTGCTCGTGGACATTCTGGTGGGGAGACAGACCTGAAGCAGACTAGCGGATGCATATTGATCAGGTGGAGAAAACTCTCGGAAGGCCATGAGGATAAGCTGACCCAGTATGGGGAGCTGAGGGATCGACCCAGGCAGAGGAAACAGCAAGTGGAAAGGCCCTGAGGCTGAGAGGGCAAGAAGCTAAGGTGAAGATGGGGGCCAACCAGGCCAGGCCTCTGGCTCTGCTCAGTGAACCGAGGTTCCCCTGTGGAGGATGCAGGGTGGAGCCCGGGTGGGGAGGGTGGTGGCAGCAGGCTAGGAGGGGTAGGCAGGGATCAGCTCCTGCTGTACTCTCAAAGTAAGGATGATGCAGTCTCTTGGACGTGCATGGGAGAAGGATGAGCTGGGGACGTGCAGTTGTTGTTGGGGTGAGGGTCTGGAAGAGCAGAAATGTCAGTTATTAAAGGGAAGGAAATGGCACTGCCTGGACCAGGTTGCCTGGAGGTGACATCAGCAAGCTTCTCAGCCCTGCACCCCAAGCATCCCTTGCCAGAACAGGGTGGGGTCTGAGGATGAACCTGGCCTGTGAGTATCTGTGGTGACTGTAGCTGCCATTCACTGGCAGCCCCTTTGAGACCACAGGGAAACCTGCAGACACCTTCTCTATCCCCTGGTCTAGAAAGCATCTCTGACAGTGTCACCCATCCACTGGGGCTGGACCTGCCACTCCTCTTCTGGGGGCTCCTGGGCAGCACGAGGCTGCAGCCTGTCCTCTAGCAGGACGAAGGGTCAGGGACACCCATTTCCTCCATGCCTGACCTAGGAAGTCCACCAGGCTCTGGGTGAGGCAGACTGGAAGCTGTGCCTTGGTTCACTCTGGGCGGAGACTGAGCGACAGGCGAACAGGTGGCCCCATGTGACATCGCACTTACTGGGGCTGGTTGTGGCAGCTGCTGCACTCGGATCTGTCCACACAGTTCCAGAGGGCGGGCGCTGAGCTTTCTTGCCCTCACCCGAGGAGGCTGCTCTATCAAGAGCAGAACCTCAAGCCAGGAGCCCCGGCTTGGTCAGGCATTGTATCCTTGTCACATACCTGCAGATCTCAGCTAGGTGCCAGGCAGTCACTGCTTTCTCTCCATCCTCTGCAGAATCCTGGGAGGGGAAGGGTGTCCCCATTTTATGGGAGCAAAAGTTGATATCCAGAGAAATTAAGATCGTAGACCTAGAACTCAGGCCCAGAAGGTCTGCAGCTGAGGCCAGCCGCCCTCCTGACTAATGCTTAGGACACAGGGAAGCCACTGACCACCTGAGTTTTCTTGTCTGGGCTTGGGTATTTAGGAACTAGTTTACTAAGAGCCAAAATATAAACTTGTAGGGCCAGGGATTTAGCTCGGTGGTTCCGGCGCCTGCCTCGAAAGTACAAGGTCCCGAGTTCGATCCCCGGTACCAAAAAAAAAAAAAACACACACACAAAATATAAACTTGTATGGTAGGTAGGCTCCATTTGTGTGATACATGTACATATGTTTATGCAAGGGGAAAATACTGAGGCTTTCACGGGAATCAAGTATTTCTTTGTGAAGAACAGAGACCCTTGCCCTGCACCGTGCTCATGGCATGTGTGGCTGTGGGGATGTGTGGAAATGGGCCCCAGGGGAGGTGCTGAGCAGACAGTAGCCTCTCTCTTACCACTCCACCATCTCCTGGGTGAGCCTGACCCCATATCTAGGCAGCCGGGCCTTCAGTGCTGTTGTTGGTTACCCCATAGGAAGAGGGACTCGTGGCACTGACAGTGCGTTGAGCTCTAGAGTCCATCTCAGGTCTGCACGGCCTTCTGTCACCACCCTCAGTTTCAGCACTGTGAGATGTATGGTGGACCTGTGGCCTCTGCAGCTGTAAGAGAGGCAGCCATGCTGTTGCAAGCACTGCGTTTGTGGTTGCTTGTACTCAGCATCAATAGGAAACCAGTAACCACTGGGTTCCTGCCCTTGGTCATGCTGCTGCCGTCCTTAAGATCCTCCCTGGAAATCCCACACCTAAGGACAGCACTGGAATTTGGGGGCAGCTGGTTATAGTTTGTATCTCCTCTGGCCTGTGGGCCTTGAGAACAAGGCCCCCTGCCTGGTGCCTTTCATGGCTCTCTGGATGAAGGTGGCTTCCCCATAGGCACATGAGTCGCCAGGCCAGTGTGCTATGCCAAGCCCCATAAGGAAAGGAGTGACTTGGTCCCATTTGGTCCCAGCTCAGCAGGAACCCAAGGTAGTCAGGGTCCATACCAGAGCACAGCAGGGTGTCCTGCCTATGGGAGGGGATGTCCCACCCCCTTGCCATTCAACTGGACAGGAGGCTCGCAGTCTGAGATGGACCAGGGGCACTGCTGTGTCCATCCCTGTCTCAGATCCTCAGCTCTCCAGCCAGGGCCCATGGTTTGGATCCTGAAAATGCCAACATTCGCAGGCAGCATTTTTTAAGCACCTCTGGCCAGGTACTTGGAGAAACCACAGGGACACAACAGGTGAGTCCCTTGCTCTCCAGGTGGTTTTTATCTGCTAGGGGCAGAGGGTGGTTGGCAGGTGATTCTCACTATACTAGCTCAGGAAAGAGGTCAGAGCAGGCTGCTCAGAAGGGGAGAGAAGTCAGGGCACCAGGGCAGGCATAACAGTGAGGGGCAAGAGAGAAGGGTGGGGACACTTGGAAGTGTAGGCACACACAGCAGGCTGGTCACTGTGGCACTTGGCTTTATGTTCACTGGTGTAGTTCTGGTCAGGTGTGGTGGCACATACCTGTAATTGCTGATTCAGGAAGATCACAAGTTTGAGCTCAGCCTGGGCAACTTAGTGAGACCCTATCCACAAGAAATGCTGAGGATATAGCTCCGTGCGAAGGCCCTGGGTTCAACCCTCCATACTGGAAAAAAAAATTTTTTCCTCAGGACCCTAGCAGATGGCAAATCTTGGGGTAGGATTATGACCTTTCACTTAGCCCTTTCCCTCCGCCCCTCAGGGTGCTTTGAAGCAGTGTCTGGACCCTCACATACCTTGGAGTTGGATAGAGACAGGGTCAGACCCAGGGCCAACCCTAAGCTGCGCCTGGCCCACAGTGTGCCTTCTCCAGCCTCGTGGTGCTCCACCTCCGCACGCATCTTAGGAAGGAGGGCAGAGCTGCCTAAAGCAGACCCAGGGCACAGCCTTTTGATGTCCTAGGTGCCACACACAGGGTCAGCAGTGTCTCCAAACAAGATCCATCCCAGCATTTAGCCTGAGGGGGACACGGGGTGGCTGACTTGTCTGCAGTCAGGCTGGTGCAGGAGGAAGGCCATGCAATGCGCCTGTGCTCTGGGCAGCCGGACAAACTGATGAACACCTAAGGCCTAGAATCCAGGCCAGCCAAGTTGCGTGGACCACACCTGCCTCGCACCTGCTTCTGGGATGTCATCGGCTCCTGCTCATCTGTGCAGCACCCACAGCTTCTTTCCTATTCTGGAGCAGTGACTGGGGGCCCTTGAAGCCTGAAAGGTTTACGACCTGATACTTCATTAAAAAAAAAGTTGGTCAACCCTCCTACCAGCATGCTAAGGCTGGTCTATATGGAGGGCTGTAAAAAATCCCCCCATGATGCAGCATAGTGAATAATTTTCCACTTTTAGAAATAGCAAACCATACATATATATATCCTCACACAGCTGTGTATACATATATACCTCTGGATGCATAGAGAACTCCAGAGAGGTACTGTACATTAAAGATGATAACTGTGGCTGCCAGAGGGCAGGGCTGGTGAGACTCACTTTTTATACATCTATTTCTGCACACTTTTTTATTCTGCACCACTTTCTGCATTACCAATTCCAGAAAATAATGAAACAATAATGCATTTGCAACAGTACATCGAGGCTGAAGAGCTAAGATAAGGAAGATGGGGGAAGGAATCGCTCCTGTCGTTTTTCCTTACCTATTAAAGACGATGGAGCTGTGTGAATAGTCTTCTCATAATAGACTCTGAGGGGAAGGAACTCTGCGAAGAAAGCTCAGAACTGTAGTCATATTTCAATGGAAAGATACTGCCAGCAAAAGCCCTTGCGGCTGGCACGCTCCAGGCAAAAAGGCAGCACTTTCGATCCAAGCATCTCCTGGGAGGGAAGGGAGCATTATCACCTACCTACCTCTCTCCACGTTGGGGTGGGGTGGCCTGGCATGAGCAAAGGCACGCAGCTCCCACATTTGCCAACCTACACGAAGTGACTCTTGCCTATTTGCCAGGAATGATTCAAGCCATTTCTCGGAAAGTTCAAACATTATCAAGTGTTTGACCAATTTGCCCACCCACCGAAAGCCACCATTACAGCCTTAGAGATAAATGGAATTGTTTTCACCTTCGCTGCTCTTCAAACGTGCAGTTTTCTGCCCAGTCGGCCTACTTAGAGGCCAAGCCCTGGCCAGTTATGGCATGAATCTTTCGGGCCTGGGCCTGAGCAGCGGTACTTTTAAAACTTCTCCAGGTGGTTCTAAAAGGCATCCAGGGTGAGAAGCTCTACTTTGACAAGGCGAGAGCAGGTGCCGGGGCTGGAGTCAGAGCAATCCAAACAGGACCTGGGCTGCCTACTGGGTGCCCTGGGCCCAGCTGTGTTGTGAGCCTCAGTTTCCACCTCTGAGAGGATGAAACCACCGCCACCTCTGGCACAACGGCTCATGAGGCCGAGGGAGATGGCGTAGGTAAGGGAGTAACCAAGTCAATAGTAATCAGTGCCAGGGCTCCTCCCATCACAGGCTGCAACAGCACACGAGCTTTGCTCGGACTTCTGCATCCCCACACTGACTCTGCAGCTCAGCGTCGCCGCTTCCTGCAGACTCCAGTGAGACACTCCCTTAGTGGATTCATGTCTTATCTCAGAAGCCACCGCATGGAGACGTTGGCGCTGACCAGCCTCCCCACCCTGTAAATATCTTTTATGGCATGTGCCTCCTCATCCTGGGTGTTGCCTGATCCACAAAATCTGATGGTACCTGTCACCCTGGCTTGCAAAGCTGCAGCTAAAGAGACAGGCAAACCCCGTGGCTCAGCAAAGCAAGGGGTGGCAAGGACAGGGCCTCCTCTAGTCATCAGCATCTGGACCCCCAGCCTAACCCCAATTCTCCTGTCTTACAGGGACATCACCCCTCCTGGAGAGTCTCTGAACAAGAACAGCCAGCCCAAAGTGGCTTCCCGCTTCCCCAAGCTGTCCCGAGGCCCCACCAGGGAGACACGCAACGTGGAGCCCCAGAGCGGTGACCTCTGACCTCAGTAGAATCCTGCACCCTGGCTGCTCTGTCAGCCTGGCCTTGGCGTGGGGACCACATCCACCTGGTGAATCCGAGAGCACCCCTTCCTGCCGGCCACATGCCACCCTGATTAAACTGCTTGGTCTCAGAGCACCAGGTCCCTGTCCGTAGAGCAGGATGGCTCCTCACTGCACAGACTGGGACATGTGGCCACTCCTCTCCCATGGCAGCAAGAGCTGTCTGTCCCCTTGCTGCAGCTCAGGGCCAGGGCAGATGGGGAATCCCCTGGATGAGATGCACAACTCTGATGTCTCACATGGCCCGAAGATTCCTTCCAAAATCACTCTGTGACTCTTTCCTGCAAGGGGATTAGAACGACTGTTAGTCTCTTTTGCTCTTCTTTTGAATGTACAGTATTTGCCTCTCTCTCCATGACCCATGGACAAATGGAGGGACCTTGCTCCTTTCCATGTTACGCTGTGCCGAGGTCGGCAGGCACCCAGTAGCATTACCACTGTGGCCCTCACTGGTTTCTTTCCTCCAGCAGACATTCCCTATGGCCTTGCGAAGGATCCTTTGGTGACATTTCTCTCTGATTCTTGGAAAACTTCCCCTTCCTCCTTGGCACTGTCTGTGTAGGAAGCCCGAGCACGGCTTGTCAGGGGCCCAGGAGGCAGGTAGGAACCCTGGCCTCTGAACATCAGCGTCCTTGGCCTTAGGTGCTGAGACACTTGACTTGGGGAACCACTGCAGAAGGTTCCAGGGCTCTGTCTCTGACGGCCAAGGTTATGGCCGGTTATGGCCTCAAGTCAGGTTCAGCGTGTGTCGGTCTACAGCCAAGCTCCCAGTGGGCGGAGAGCCCTGTCTCCCTGAGACTGGCCATTCTTTTCCCCCTGCCGCGGGCAGGATGTCATAGTCCAGGGACCTCAGCAAGCAAGGACAAGGACCCACATACATGCAGCTCCTCGAACCCACCTGATCAGATGGTTTCACAGGGCGTGCTTTAACCTCCAGAATCATGGAACCATTCCTACCCAGTTAAGAGCCGCCTCCAAGGCTCAGTGCAGCTGGGAGAATTTGCAGAATGGACTGTGAAATAAATAGGGTTCGTCTTTGCCTGTGGCAGATGGAGGTTTGTGCTGCAACTGCTCCAGCTCACTGGCTGACATCTTGGTGAATCACCTGGAAGATGGTGCTTCCTGGTCCCCTGTATTCGGGCAGTTAGGGAAAGCTCAGGTCACTGCCACATAATCCCACAGGGAAGCAGGGGCGAGGCCACCTTGGGCCAGATGGACCAGAGTGAGGCTGCTGTCCCTCAGCCAGCTGCAGAGCAGGGGCCCTACCTGAGTGACCTCCAGCTTCCGGAGCAACACGTTCCTCTCCTTACTGCCCGAATGGTTGGCCTTTGAGTTTGAGCCTCAAGCACTGGTCGGGCTGCTGTGCCTTGTGTCTGAGAATGCACAAGGACCAAGCGAGGGCCTGTTGGAGGCTGCCCACTCCACTGTGTCTCCTGCCTTGGGGCGGCTGTAAAGTGGGCCACGGCTGCCAACGGGAGGACTGGCCAGCACTGGCCTCGGAACAAGGGCTCTGCGCTGAAGCCGTTTCCCTACTCTCTGTACCCTGCCCTCTCCAGCCACCCCACCGGGAAACCTTGTTGGCACTGTGCAAATGGAATTAAAGCAAAAAACCACAGCCCAGAGATACCCAGAGCTACAATTGACTCCGCCTCCTAACTTGGTAAAGCTTAATTATTCATAGAAAACTTGCTCAGCTGTCCTGCCAGGCGCAATAGGAAAGCACATTCCCCGGGGCCATCTGGGAATGCTCCAGCTGCTTGCAGTCTGGAAAGCCTAGCATCACCCTCCGGCGGTGGGTTGTCTGTCCCCTGTCACTTTATCTCACAAGTACCTGGCCTCTGCCCAATGTGCGGGTGACTCCTGTGGAGCTTGTGACACAGTGGCAGGTTGGGTGGATTTGCCTGTGAAGAGCGGGCAGTCGAAAGCTGCTTCCATCTGTCCGCTCAGGCAGAGGAGTCCAGCCATGAGGTCCCAGGTTCGAGGCCCAGAGTGAGGAAACGGAACAGACACACACACACACAGTGCTGCTCTGGACTGCTCCGCAGCCTGGGCAACCTTGTGGCCACTACATTGTCGCTCAGTTCTACATGGGACACTGCTCACCTGAGGACCTGGGACACAGTTGGGGCATTCTAGGCCTTGGCCCTGCCCCACTGCTCCATCCACCTGTGCCGCTGGGAGACCCCAGCCAGCCTGTCACAGAGGCCAGGCACACCTCCCTGTCACCACCAGTGTCCTCCCTTTGTCATCAGCCTGACCTGGCTCTCCCCCACCCTCCGGCCTCCGAGAAGGGGCTGGATCTTTGGCCCCCAGCACCGGCCCAAGGAAGTCCCGGGCCCAGCCTGTCAGACTGACGAGGATGTGTCCCGGAAGGGGCGACCTTGGGCCGAGCCCCAGCCCCAGCGGCAGTAACTGTCCTGCTTAGTGCATCACTCCAGGCGGTGCCAGACACGGGCCACCTCTGCCTCCCCTCGGGAGGCTCCGACCTACGACTCATGCTCCGTTCTGGGGGCAGGCAGGCGCCTCCTTACAGACAAGGTCTGTGTAAGGAACGTTTTCCAAAATGTTGTGCATCATGTTATTAAAACTAATGTGAAATATTTGCTGTTCAGATTGGCTTCCGTGCTGACTTTGCACAACTGTAGCACTGTATATTTTATGTAACATTTCTGTGCCAAAAAGTTCATTTTACTGTCTCCCGAACACATGGTCTTGATTGTATTTCTGACATAAAGCTCCAGCGCCTGGAGTGAGAGGATTGGGTTCAGTAGCACAGCCTGCACCTACAGTTCCCCCCACGGTTCCCCCGGCTGCAACGCGCCAGGCCAGCTCTTTGCACCTTGCGCCACGGAGTGTCGCGGGCCGGATCGCGGTCACTTCTGATTCATCACGGAGCCTTACTTTTGTTCCTAAGTCTGACAGCCAAGTTCAGAGGGCTTCCTTACACCCAGAGGTTTTACAGAAGTCGGAAAAGGATGCGGGTTTCCCTGAAGAGGGCTGAGCCGCCCTGTGGATGAGTCCCCACCGGAAGATGCTGGGTCCCTTCTCTTACCCCATGTGTCCCTGTCCTGCCGGGGGAGCCACTGGCTGCCCGCAGGCCCCTGCTTCCCTCTCCCGACTTGTCAGCAACCACTCAGTCACTGGGCAGGTCCCTTCCCCGTCAGTGAGGACACAGGTGCCCACTGCAGAACACAGGATGGCGGGTGGCATGTTTGTCACCAGAAGTTGCTGAACATTCGAGGAAGGGGCCCGGGGAAGGAGACTGGCCCTTAGCATCTTGGAAACAAAGCCTTGGCCGGGCAGCCTGCTGTGCCTCGCTGGTGTGACCTGACCGCTTGGAGCAGCATTGGGGGCCATGCGGGGCAGCGAGTCACTGGGAGGAGCAGGGCGGCTGCACTGGAGCCCGGGTGGCAGGTGGGCAGGACCTGGCCGGCTGCGGGTGCAACTGGCCACGTAGACTCCTGACTACCCTCTTCTGTTAGGGTTTACACGATAGAATTTTTAAGCAAATATGTTTAATTTTCTAAAATCTCTTGTATTAAACTTTTCTTTTGGAATAAGCTGTGGTAATTTTGTTACAATCTGGTTGAGACAAACCTCTTTACAGTGACAAAATAAAATGGCGCCATTTTATAAGTTAGATGCTCAGTGTGGGCTTTCTTTGCCTTGGTTCTGCAGCAGCTGGGCGTTTAGGTGAACTTTTAACATACACAGTCTAAGGACGCTTCTGGAAAGCTCAGTCCCCTTCTCACACAGCACCTTGGGCAGCAGGACTCAGTTTGACTCATAGCAATTTTGTTTGAATTAAATGAAACGAAATCTCATTTGGAGTTGTATCATTAGGCAAATCTGGATAAATTGGGTGTGTGCATTCCAGATTCCATACAGTCAAACCACCTTTCCGGACAGGTTCCTAGCCACTCACCACCTATTTAAGAAACATCATTACTGGGCGCCTGCTGTATGCCAGGCGCTGGGCACAGGATAGGGAACAAGACAGAGAGTCCCCATGTCTTAGACTTACGTTCAAGGTGAGGCAGACAGGCAGGGTTATCTTAAGTCAGCCATCCAGAATAAACGGGATAAACAGGCAGTGGGGAACAACCAGAGGCCTCAGGGTCCACTCCCACAGGCCGGGCTGGCATCTCAGCCCTGGCACCACCGACGTGGAGGCTGGGTGTTCATGCTGGGGCACCGTGTGCAAGGCAGGGTGCTCAGCAGGGTTCCTGCCCTCACCCCCTACACTGCAGCACCCCTTGTTTACAACCAGAACTTTCCAGACATGGCTGGATTTCTCCAGTGGGGGACTGGAGAACTATGGACTGAGGGGTCCTCTGCCAGAGTGACATTAACCTGAGACCAGGATGAGAGAGGCTGTACTGCCCTGCCCCCCACATAGCTTAGCTTAAAATTGGGCAAGGTCACCTACATTTTTTTTTTGGTACCGGGGATCAGATCGAACTTGGGTCCTTGCGCTTGCAAGGCAGGCGGCAGCACCACTGAGCTAATCCCCCACTCAAGGTCACCTACATTTTAACCTAATTATGATCACCAAAGAATAGGAGAAAATTGTCATCAGGATTAGAACGAGCCAGACGTAGGACGCGCTCCCACCGGGGCCCAGGAGAGGGTGAACGCTGCAGCAGGGCCCCACAGCCTCCCGCCCAGCAGAGCCTCAAGCAGTCAGCTCCGAGCGAGTCAGCGAGCCAGCGAGCGAGTGCGGCCTGCAGGCCGCTCAGCCTGAGGTCGGAGGACCACCACGTATGGCCTGGGTCTCCCTGGCCTCACCCCGGCCAATCCCCATCTCCCTCCCTCCATGTTCCAGTGTGCAGTCTGTATTGCACAAACTCCCTCATGTCCTCAACCCTCCTCGGTGGCCTCGCTCGGTGTCCCAGCCATTTCCAGGCACCCTGGCAGACCTCCCGGCTAGAGGCCACCCCCCAAGCCCATTTTCTGCCTCTGTCTGTGGCCCAGCCCCTAGTAAGGACTGAACCCAGGGCCTTTGCACAGTTACATCCCCAGCCCTTTTTATTTTGAGACAGGGTTTCATTAAGTCACTAAGATACCCAGGTTGTGTTTCCCTATTTCATACCACCCCACCTTAAAAACATGGGCTGAGGGCCGGGATTTAGCTCAGTGGTTCCGCCTCCTGCCTCCCAAGCACAAGGTCCCGAGTTCAGTCCCCAGTACCAAAAACAAAACAAAACATGGGCTAAGATGGAAATGTGTCCCCCAAAGTTTATATGCTAGAAACTTATTCCCTGGTGCACCGGTGCTGGGAGGTGGGGCATACGGGGGAGGGCAGGGATCTCTGAGCGACTGTGCCTCCCCCACCCCTTCCTCTTGCCCCTCCCGCCTGGGGACGCTGACAGACCCAGGCAGGCGGATGGTTCCTCCTCCAGCTCGTATCCACCACACCCATCTCTGCCTCAGGGTGGCCTTCCTGTTGGCCTGCAAATGCTTCTCATTCACGGTGCCCAGCACCTGTTCTCTGGCCTCCCCCATGTCCCTAGCTGTCCTCCTGCCCCTTCCTGACCCAGCAGCAGCGCCATCGCTGCTACCTCTGGAGTCCCCGAGGCGCCTTCCAGTGTTCCCATGGCAACAACCCTGCATCCCTGGCATCTCCAGTCTTCTTCAGAGACTGCCCTCCTTCCTTCTCCCTCCTGCCAGTTCGCTCTTCCAGCAGTGGTTCCAGGGCCCCTGTCCAGTCATCCAGCAGTCCCCAACCCTCCTCCAGCCTCGCTAGGGCCACCCGATCCCAGCGCCAGCCACACCTAACTCCTCTGCCTGCACCCACGCTGGCACACAGTGAGGAGGAAGTGTCCCCAGGGCTGCGCTTCACTACTCCTGCCTGCACTTCCCCTGGTGAGTCTCCCCCGGTCCCTGGCCTCTCAGAGCTGCAGGGCCTCAGGCCGGGTCCTGGCCATCTGGTCTTGTGCCCCACTCCCCGAAGTGCCATCTCCTCCAGTGCTCCACAACAGAAACCACGTGAGCCTCATGTGTCCCTTAGAACTTCCTCATGACCTCATTAAAAATGTAAAACATCGGGAAATTAATTGTAAGCACTCATTTCATTTAACCTGACACAGTCACGATACTACTTCACCATGCAATCCATGTTTTAAAACAAGACATTTACACTCTTTGGGTATTACGGCAGACTCTGGGGCATATTTCACACATTACACACATCTCGATCTGGACCAATCACATTTCCAGGGCTTGGGAGCCGAATAATTGGAGGCTCCTGTATGGGACGGCTGGGCCACAGGGGTCCCCCGCCCCGCGTGGCCACCTCTGTAGAGTCCTGAGTGCTGCATGTCCTCCCCTTCGGCTGCAGGGAGCGGGCACCACACCTGTCTCTTGGGACCCTCCCCTGGCCCCCAGCCCCTGGGGACAGCACGCCCTCTCAGGCGTGACCATGGCCAGCGCCCTCCCACCCCACTGCCCCCACCCTCCCACGCGCCCTCCGTTCCACGGCCCCACCGCCCGGTCCTGGTCCATCCTCCGTGGGACACCCAGGGTGACCTCGCTCTTGCCACCACCGTGACACAGCCCTGCTGAGGTCTCCCCATCCTGGTCACCGGTCCCTGTGGAAGACAAAGCCTTTCCAGAAAAGCAAATATGAGCCCATCCCTGCCCTGGGTAATGTTTCTGTGGGACCTAAAGGGTGGAGATAAAGGACCTCACCACCCCTGTACAGTACCGCACCTGCCCACGTGCTGGAGTCTCCCGGGGAGCTTCAGAAATGGCCCCACCTTGTCCCCACCCCACCTCCTCTGTCACCCACAGCTCCTTTCCGGAGGCCCCAAGTCGGTCACCCGCCCTGCACCTGGCGCCTACCTGGCCTCAGGCTTGCGCTTCCCCAGAGGGCCCGGCCTTCTGACCTGGCCTCTGTGCGCAGGGTGACTGTGTCCCTGGGACATGAGCTCAGAGGGCAGAGGCCCCACTTTGCATGTTGTTTCCTCCTCAGTCCCAGCCCAGGGGTCCCGGTGCCACCTATAGGCACCCAGTAGATACTGGCTAGGCAGGTGTGTGTGAGCTGCCTTCCACCACGGTGACAAGTGCCCAAGAGAAACACCACCCAGTGGTTCCAGAAGCTCCGCTTGGCCCTGATGTGTCGGGCCTGTGGCGAGGCGTGGGGGCGGGGGGGCGGGGAGCTGGAGGAAGCCGCTCACCTCGAGGTGGCCAGGGAGGGGCAGGGGCAGGGGGACAGGGGCAAGGAGGAGCCAGCTTCGCCCACAGAGCCACCCACACTGGTCCGCAGATGGATCCACGCCTGAGGGCAGAGCTCCTTGTCCCTGTCACCAGAATCCCCGGCTCTGGACACGGCTGCATGGGGACCAGGTTCCTATAGTGGAGCTCGTGGGGGCCATCCCAGACCCGAACCATTGCCAAGGGACAAAGAGCATATTTCACCTATTTGACTGCGAGTCCTAACTTACACAGCTCTGTGTTTCGCCTCCTCCCCTGGCATTTGGAGAGATGGTAGATGCCAGGGTTGGACACGGACAGGGTCAAATTCTGACTCCACCTGCTGGCGGCAAGGCCTCTGGCCACGCCTCCCTGGGCCGCCCTTCGCTCCTCTGAGAAAGGGGCAGCTGGACTCTGACGTGCAGTGCGAAGTAAATGATTTACAGCAACCCTAGAAAGACTGAGCTCCAGAGCAGTGGAGGAACTGCCCAAAGCCACACGCCATTGCAGAGCAAATTTAAGCAGGAAAAGGAAGTGCTGGAGGGGGCCGTGTCTGCTCTGGGTTCAGGCTGCCACACCCCAGCCTCCTCCCTGCCTCCCCCAGGGACTGGGAATGTGGCGAAGCGGCAGCTGGCTGGAGACGCATATTTTCTAGAAAGAACGCCCGAATTCACTCTCGGTCCACGCGATACTCTGCTAATGTCCCGACTTCTACATTCACCCTCCCCTTGCCATACACACAGCCTGTTCTGTCTCCTTCTCCTCTTTTTCTTAAGCAACAGTGCTTATCACTTCGTGTTGTCTTTATGTGATCAGGGAGTTCTGGGGAAAGCAGACGGATGGATCAGTGAAGTCCAGTTTGTACAGGTCTTAGAGCTTGTGAATCCCAGCCATGGCCTGACCAGCTGACCTGACCTGCAGCTAAGGAGGTGCCTTCCCCACCCAGAACGCCCACACTGTCCGGCTCGGCCTGGGCCCAGCCCAGGCCCCTGCAGAGGGTCTTTGTGACGGCATCTCCCGGTCCCGCAGTCACATTCTCCGCAGCTGGCACCTGAGCACCGTCACCACACCCAGAGGGCCTGCTCAGGCCGGGTCCCTGCGCGCCGCCCTGCTTCTGCTCCTGGAGATGCCTTTCCCACAAGCTCCAGGGCTACCTTGTCCCAGTGTGGGGCCACACAGAACCACAGCGGCAGAGGCCACAGTGCCAGGTCAGAAGTACCTTCCAGAACCCCCGTGCCATTTCAGGGGGAGTAGGGTCCCCTCCCACTTCCACCTGCCCCTTCTGCCCTCCCTTTTCAGCCTCTGGCCCAAACCTGCTTTTCCAATACACCTGGAGCCCTTCTTTCCCCTGTGCCCCTTGAATCTTGAACCCACCCTTCTGTTTTCCTAGGACTTAAGCATACTTTACCTGCCCCAGGCCCTTTGTACACACCCACGCCCCTGCCT